ACTTCAATTGACCTTCCATTCATGGCTGTACCTCCAAGTATACCATTGAAACGTTCAAAACTGAAGCACCAAAATGCATGAACTGGCCCAAAGTCTAGAACACAACCCTTCAAATGACAATGGAGGTGCATGTTTGGTGTTACGAATTTCTTTCCAAAGACATTTTCAAACTGTTCGCCAAATTTTATGAACAAACCATTTGCTCTAGCAATATCCACTTCAGATATTACAGGACATGCCATGTACTGACAAGCGAGTACAAAWGTTTGCCAGCATCGAAAATAAGCTTCAGGTATAAGGCCATTTAAGCAGTATGTTGAGTATATAAGCGTCCAATTCTTCCACTGTGATGCTGTAAAACAGCCATAATTAGATAAGATATTCTTGGGAAGCCTGCCAAATCCAGTTGGAACATCAAAGCTAGAAAGCCTTTGTTCTAATGTTTCTAATGCCTTCTTATCAAGTATTTCTTCTGTCAGCAAAAGCTTGAAAAAATTTTTTGATGTTCCCAAGAACAGATTATGCATGGGATCAATGACTGTCATTCTCACTGCATCAAAATATTCAAGCTTCAGAAGACTACTGTAGTAGACACCATGTTTTTTTGCTAGTTTTTCATGATTTGTAACATTTGAAGCATTTTTTACCTCCAATGCCTGCCTTCTATGAGTTCTGTTATCACGAGGAGGCCAATTCTTTACATCAAAAACCTGAGTAGTCTGTTTTTTCTGTGAAAGTGCTGGGAAAAAACTTAAAACATTTTGAGCATCCTCTGTGGGCTGAATGTCCTTTAAAACCACAAAGTTTTCGGGAAGCTGGAATATCAGATGAGGCCAACAGTAGTGCTGCACGATGAACAAGGGGGACACTGCTAGTACTGGTCTGGARTCGAACACCTTTCCACAGCACCCTCAGCTCCTCTACAATAGGGTCTAAGAACATGTTTAAGCTTTTGGGCTCCTTTTTCATTTCTGGTATGATTCCAGCAATAATCACATTTTCCCACTTATATCGTTCTTCTCTTGGTAAATTAAGAATTACCAAGTATATGGCTCCAACAGATCTGTCCTTTCTTCTTTTGTATGGTTGAAACCAATCCACATTAATCCCCAATGCAATATTATGTTTAGCTTTCAAAAACTCTTTCCCTTCAAACACTTGAAAGTCTTTCCATACTCTTCCATCATAGATATCTGCCATGACTCCTGAATCAACTTGTCGTCTTCTCCATTTT